GGCCCGGCACCCGCCTCCCGCCTGGGCGCCGACCCGCCACAGGGAGCTGCAGCGGGGCGGGACGCGCTCAGGCGGGCGCTGTGTTAACACGAAGAGAAAGAGCAACTTAGACAAAGGCTGTGGGGCGCGGGGGCGGGCTGTGGGGCGGGAGGAGGCCCAGCCAGCCTGCTGCAGGACGGCCACAAAGACAGCCTGTCCCCAAGACAGAACCCGCCTTGTTCCAGACGCTGGCGCTGGCCGCCCCGCTGGGCACAGTGCTGCCCTGCCCATGGGAGACCCTCAGCCCGGCCAGGCCTGGCCCTCTCCACCACCGCTCTGTGGGAGCAGACGGGGAGCCTGGGGAGGGGCGTGTGGAGACTGGCTGAACTGCACGGGCCAGGCCCCCCACCCCTGAAGAGGTGCCCTCAAGCCGAGGCCAAAGTGACCCCTTGCCCTGGGCAGCCACCCAGTCCGTGGTCCGCAAAGACAGTCTTGGAGGCCTGAGACTGGACCTGCCTGGCCTCCCGCCGAGACCCACCAGGTGGGGCCCCAGGACTGGGCTTTCCTCACTGCTCCCCACTCCTTTGGGGGAATGGCCGGTCAAGATGGTGGAGATAGGACTGGCCCCACCGCACAGTACAAGGAGGGGCCAGCAGAGGGCGCCAGAGGCCCAGGATGGGCAGATCAACTCAGGTGGCTGCTGGCCAGGTGGTGGGTGGGCCCTGCACATGCACAGGAACCCTCCTGCGCTGGCCTTCAGCCCCACCCCCAGGCCTCCCCCCAGCTGGGAGGAGGCCGCAAGTGCGGACCCCAGTCTGGCCCCTGGAACCCAGTGCTTCCCTGCCTGGGACAGCTGGCCTGGTGCCCATGGCCAGCAGGGCTCAAGTCCCCCCAGGAAGGCCCCAGGCCCTTGAGAGAGCCCTCTGGTCAGGATGAAGGCCCAAGGCCTGCCCCCGCCTGACAGTGCCCATGGCAACACGTCCTCCCCAGGGACAGACACAGCTGCAGGAAACTGGACCTTTAATGCCATGGCCTCGGAGCCCAGCCCATCATTCTGGGCGTGGCCGCACTGTCCAGGGTGCCAGGAACCCCAGCCATCCACTGCCCCACACCACAGGGCTGGACTGGTCTCAGACCAGGGCTTGGCAGACCAGCACTTGGGCGGACACCTAGTCCTGCCCGTGATGGAGTCAGCGGTGTTCTGTGGGGGCCCTCTGGAGACCTGGGTCAGCGGCCTGTCTCGCGCAGAGTCCAGCACAGCCAACTGGGGCTTGGAGGGGCAGGTGAATACAGGGGTGACGAGGTGGGATTCCGGGCTGGGGAAGGGGCAGGACAGGAGGAGGGGGGCTATGCTGGGCTGGCCGCAGCTCTGGCCAGGGTGATGGTCACCAGGCATCGGGTTTGGCTGAGGCTGGCCTACAGGGGCCAGCGGGTGTGGGCTGGGCACTCCTGGGCCGCAGCGGGGCCGGCCCGGCCTTGGGCCCCCACCGCACCCGCTCTCTCCTGCCGGGTGCCAAGTCCACGCGTGGGCGAGCAAACGTCGCAGGCGGGGCAGGTGCGCGGCCGCAGCTAGCCGTCTTCTTCCTGCCTCTGGTTCTTGCACTGGAACTTGCTCATCAGCTCCTCCAGCTCCGACCCGCCGGGGGCCTTCTAGAGAGGGGGCGCGGTCAGGCCCTGCGCGCAGGCCGAGGGCCGGGCGCGGGCGGGGCGCGCTTACCTCCAGCATGGCCTTTTGCACAGTGAGCTGGCTGTACACGCGGACGCCCTCCTCCCCGCACACCTTCTTCAGCTCGTCCTTGTTGAGCGAGAAAAGCTGGGGCCCCGTGAGGATCCCCAGGTGCTCCACGATCCTGGCGGGGAGGGGCCAGAGCTGCTGCGTCGGGACGGTAGCCCGGCCCCGCCCCCGCCC